GGAGTATGTAGGGTGGCTGTCCCTGGACTCCTTCAGAAGTCAAAACCAAGATTGCAAAAAGATCAGGTCATTGAGATGGCAAAATGGTTAGGATGGTCATGAGCAAACTCCTGCATCCAGGCCACATGGAAGGGATTTTAATTTCCTTAAAGCAGTCCTTCTCAAAAGTGTGGTCCCAGTCTAGTAACATCTGCATTACTTAGGAATGTATTAAAAATATAAGTTCTCAGGCCCCACCCATGACCTACTGAATCAGAGACTCTATGGGGAAGGGAAATAAGATCCAGCCTTCTGTGGTTTAAACCCTGTTAGGGGATCCTGATTGATGCTAGAGGAAGTTTGAGAACCACTGTCTTAGCAAAGTAGAGCTTTCATCCTCAAATTCCATTCACATAAATCTTTCAGAAGCTTAGCATACAAGTAGGCACCATGCCACCCCTTCTGAAGCCATATATCCTTTGTCTGAAAAAATAAGCCCAGCGTCTGTGTGTCAATGTATGTCTCTTATTAAGCTGATCTCACATTTCTCAGGAGTGTTTCACTATCAGGTTTGGGTTTGTTTTTGAGGGAACCACCTTCTTCACAGCATTTCTATTCCATAAACCTCCATATGTCAAAAGAAGGGAGTACTGGTTTGATTCTCTTAAATTCAATGAGATCTTGAGATAAATAAAACTTTTTTTTTCTCACAATGAAAGAAAAAACACCAGCTTTTATTGTTTTTGAAGTTTGTAGATGAGAGGCAAGTTGACATGCAACTTGGAGTCTTAATTTCCTTACAAGGTAGGTGTAGAAGAAAAGAATTGAGTCAATCAGAAATTCTGATTTGAACTTGTGGCTTTTTTTTTCTTTCTTTTTGGTGGTGACATTTCTTTTTAAATAACCTGTCAATTGTCCAAAGAGGAAATGTGTATAATTTCAGAGTCTGCTCAGGATAGGACTAGAATAAGAATGACTCTGAACAGTACGCCCACTGAGAGGTCCCAGCTAGCCTTGGCAGCACATATCCACCTCCAGGACTGGCTCCTGACCTGTGCAGTTGAAGTGTCCCTGGAGATGTCAAAGACCTCTCCCCTGGCCTGGGGCCAGCGATCCTCCGGAGGTTTGTCTGCAGAGTACTGTTCCCAGACGTCTCTTAGTTTATTCCCCAGGCATCTGATGAGAGCAGGAAGTCTAACTTGAACTTTTAAAAACTTTCACCAGGCCTGTTACTTGGTCAGCAGAATTAATGAACAAATGCAGCACATGTTCTCTACCACGTACTGAGGGAAGCGATGAAAGAATTGGAGTTCAAATGCCAGGCCCCGAGCAGTTCAAAGTCTTTTTTGTGCTTTTTCAAAATGGACCGAGGACATGGCATGTGGTTTCTGAAGAAAGCACAGGACTGATTAAAGAGAAGGAGAAGCAACTAGCCTTTTTCATTCCACTGGGCCCTGAAGATCCTGCCCAAAGGCAGGCAGTTGTTTTTCTTTCAGCCCTGGGTTTTCAGGGACATGGCCTGACAGCAAGAATCCTTTCTGGTCTTTTTCACTAAACCAAATCCCTGCTCACTGCTGCTTGAAGCAAGGAATGGAAGCTGGAGGAAACCACCCCCCCCCCCCCCAGTGTATCTTGTTAGGTGACACACTACTCATTTTAGGTACAAATTTGCAACTGCCGCTAACCTGCACAGAAGCTGGCCTCAACATGTAGTAGTCTGATTCACTGGAATTGCCAGATGTGGAAGAAGGTGTGAAATCCTCTGTATTTATGGAATCCCTTGTTCATGTCCTCTCTGCTAACACAGCAGGAATTTTACCTCAGCTCTATTAGGGAAGTAGCTAAACCAGGAATTCTCGGAATCTCTAGGGAAGAAAGTCCTTGGTGGCTGTTTATAGGGGGCCCGTAGTCCTACAGGGTGCTTAGGTCTGGGCATCCCAGTGCCCCACTTTGCTTGTCATCTCCCCTCTAGAACAGAGACCACCCTGCAGGGGTTTCTTTCTGGGGGAGATGGAGAGAATTGCCTTTGTTTCCAGAAAAGGCACAGTTTATTTTGTAAGGACTTGATGATACCTTGGGTTTAATCATTTTTTTTTAAATGATCAAGCTGGGCAAGATGACATGATTGGAGTCTTAAATACAAAAAATGAATAAATACAAGAAATAAGATTGGAGTCTTACACAAATCTGTAATCCCAGCAACTGGGAGAGTAAAGTTGGGAGATAGCAAGTTTAAAGCCAGCCTCTGCAACTTATCAAGACCCTATCTCAAAATAAAATTATTAAAAGGGCTGGGGATGTGCAAGGTCCTGGGTTCAATCCCCAACACCTTAAAAAAAAAACAAAAAATGATATTCAAAAAATATTAAAAATATTAAATATATTTAAAGTGATATTCAAAATATTCAATATATCTCTCCATTTCTGATTATGAAGAATATTACATTCTAGTCTTACCTTTTACTACATAAAATGATTTAGGACGTCTTTAGCTGGAGTTCCTGGGCTCTTCAGTTTAACTACTTCGTGATTCTGGGCAGGCAAGTCACCCTTCCTCATCCACTCATCTTAAGAGGGGAAAGCAGTTTGTTGGAACAAAACTAAGATACTGATAAAACTGGAAATGAATTTGTTCACAAGTTTGAAAACCATGATGGATTTATGAAATCAGCCATTCAAGAAGACTGGTGTCCCACTCGGAAGACTGTGAAGATAAATTTTTATAAAAATTCAGATGTGTGACAGTTTAGTTGGCAGGTCCATCCTTCTTCCTCTTTTTCCCCACTTCCTCCCTCTCTTTCTTCCCCTCTCTCCTGTGACTTCTCCTGCCTCTCTCCTCCTCCTCCCTCACCTCCTTCATCCACCCCCCTCTTTTAGGTCCATGGTGGGGGTGGGGCAGATGTGCACCAGGAAGGAAAAGGAGAAGGGTCAGAGGAAGTCTGTCCTAGGCTGTAAGACCTGCCATGGCAGAACCTGATTAGTTTTAGTGTTGAGAGAGTGAAATGAGCCAATGCATGTCAGGCACTTCTGGTTTTAGAGATAATGCCCAACCTAAAATAGGTGCCCAGTGAGTGTTAACTCCACTTGTTATCTCCCTCTTCTCCAGCACCTAGCCCTGGGCCAATCCCCAGGTAATAGCTGAATTAAAGGTTGTTGATTTCACTTGCCTATTTCCCTTCATCTGTTCTTAGTGTTTTTGCTGCCGTTGCCCAAACATCATGAGGAAGATGTGAACATTTGCTCTGATTAAATTTAAATGGCAATGGCAAGTGTTAAGAAGCATGTTTAAATAAAAGCATGATTTCTTTCCCCAAAATGTGTAAAACTTTGAATGAAACTCAGTGCTGCATGCTGTATAGGCATCCTTCTAATTATTGACAACATTCTGATTTGACGACATTCCTATATTCACAGAGCACCTTCTCACACTAAATCACTCTGGACCCAGGTGGAGTTAGATGTGGCACTCCTGCCCTCCAGGGCGCGAGATG